TAACTGCTAAACTGGATTACGGTAATGCCTTACTATATCGCTTACCAAATTACCAAATACACCTGCTTCTGAGAGCTCAAAACTGTGCTGCCCGTCTAATTACACGTACCAAAAATGTGATCATATCACTCCTGTTCTTCGTAAATTACATTGGTTGCCAGTTCACTATAGGATACACTTCAAAATATTACTACTAACGTACAAGTCACTACATAGATTGACACCATCCTACATATCGGACCTTATTCACAAAAATCAAAACCAGAGAACCCTTCGCTCAAGTAAGAAACATACACTTGCTGTACCTCGAACTCACCTCAAGAATTATGGTGACCGGTCATTCGCCCATTCCTCGCCGTCTTTATGGAATCAATTACCAAATGACATCTGTTCTGCACCAAATGTTAACATCATTAAATCCAAACTCAAATCTTACCTGTTTCAGCAAGTCTAACTGTAAAACTAAGCGTCATTGAGCATCACTGCGATGGATACTAGACGCTATATAAACTTGTATTTATTATTATTATTCGATTCCTACATGCGACTATTTCCATTCCTACATGCGACCACTGAATTTGAGCATTTCGCATTTGAGAGACTCGTTGTAGCTTGCCTAGGGCGTACTGTATGCAGATCTAGATAATTTATATTCGTATATAACACAATTTCAGTCGTATAATCGATCATTTCATTCGTATACGCAATTGCTGTTTTACGCATCTTAGTTACACGCATTCTGTTACTATTTTCCTCATTTCCCCATTCATCATCGTACATTCGCCTTTTTTGAAATTATTTCCGTGCACTTAGGAGGTACCTTGACCATGTGGCTTACACAACATGGCGGCCTCCGTGCATAGATCGGACTTGGAGTTTATTGTTCGTCAAGTAGAAACGAGCATTGCTTCTTTAAACGACGATCTACGCGATACTGGTGCATTAAATGACGACAGTGTTCACGAAAGTCGTCAAATTTACAACGACTTCTGTCAGAGTTAGACGGAAACGGAATTATCGGTTAGCACACTTGACCAGCTCATGGAGCTAATTTAAAACAAATACTAGCTGCGGATCCGTAGCTCTATCTTGCGACTGACAACTGTTTTACCTCTTTCTTTATTACTTATTACTTATTATGACGTCTTATTTTCAAATTTTGTGTTGTAAGTCGAATATAGAAACAACCGCATGAAATGGGAAAACTGTCACAGTGACGCCTCGTGACGTCACGATAACTTATTCAAGATGACGGCAAACACGGGGATTTTGCTGTAGTTTTCCGCGGTTTTCGTCGTGAAATCGACCAATTTCGTGGGACCATCGCCCTCAAAATAATTGATGAAATAATTTCGGGACCCATCGACAGTAGAAAAGTAGAAACTTGAGGCGAAAATAATTAAAAAACGGCTATTACTAATTACTCAAAGTACCCCCTATAGTAGGCAAGCTACGACGAGTCCCTCCAATGCAAAATGCTCAAATTCAGTGATGGCATGTAGGGGAATGGAAATCATCGCATTTAGGATAAAAATGGTCGCATGTAGGAATGGAAATGGTCGCACGTAG